GAGAAGTTGGCTGAGAAGTTTGTTTTTGCTTAAGACACCAGAGAACTGGATGTTGCCATGTGGAGTGCTGCACTAGGGCTACAGGCTCTAGACGGCCTGAAATGGGGCTGAAGCCTCACAGAGGCATGTTGGAGGTGAAACCTCTTGACTTAGCTCATGTCTGAAAACAAAACTAATTCACAGTCTAACAGATTGTGGTTGGTTTTTTGAGCAGGTTCACCCTATAATTTTATACTTAATTTAAGCTTTGCTTCCCTTATKGGTTCTCAGAACATAGACCAGCCATAACATATGAAAGGTTTTGCTGCCACTAGCTTGTTTGGATTATATTTTGTATTTGAAAACAGAACATCTTCTTGTTAGAATTTTCTGTCCTACTCCAAGTTGTGTTTCTAGCTTATCTGCAAGGCACAGCCCAGGTACCATCTTCCTTCTAATGTGAAAAAACAGCATAATTTAAGACAGGTCTTCCCAACTTGTTTACTCATGACTACACATGATTTCCATGKGTAGTCATGGTTTCCACACCACCCGGGCCCTGTATTATCCTCACGGTAACACTGATGATGGTATTTTTAAAAGTGCTAGCTGCATTTGCCAGTAGTAGCTATTTATGAAGTCATTTGAGCTGCTGGTGGAAGGAAGACAAATGCATGCACTGAAGGAAACCGCCATTTACACAGTCCCCGTGCTCAAGAGAACATGGTTTCCTGTGTCATTAATACGCCTYGACTCTTGCAATTTTCCATTTGACTTGTCCTGCTAATTTGTTGAAGTCTCTCTCCAACTTTTTTCCAAAGCTTGTTTTCCAGAGCACGAGCAGCACAAGTGGCTGTACAAAGAGCCACTGTTCTGAGGAGTTATTCTCCTCAGAAGATACAAAACCTATTTCACCTTCAGCGCGACCAAGTTGGCATGGTTTTATTGATTGCTATTTTGGCTCTGCACACTTGCAATATTGCCTTTCTTCTCTATGCTGCCCTCAAATATAAACACAGTGACTGGAAAGTCAAAACAAGTATTGTTCCAAAAAGTTATATAATTACCCAACATGAAAAAAAAAAAAAATGGGGTACTTATTATTTGAAGAATAATAAATGGAATACCTAGGGAAATATTCCTTCTTCTTGATTTTTTTTTTTTTTTTTAGGTGAAGAGAAAAGAAGAAATTCTTTAATTTGGTTCTTCCTTCCCCTTAGAAGTGAAGTTTTCTCAAACCAAACGGTGGCAAATGAGACTGCACGTATGTTAGCAGCATTGTCTTTTAACACTTGGACAGAATTTTGGTTTAGTTTTTAGAATGTGCTACTACAGTGCTGAGTGCTTGTTTATTTGTTCGTTTTTTTCATCTTCTTATTTCTTCCAGAGGAACTAAGGGGATAAGAAAAAAGTTGCTTCTACATATTCTTTTCTAAACTCAAGAAGACTCTGAAGGTAGGACAGAGTATAGAAAAGAGACAGTTTTGTTTGGTAGCTTTTGTTTTAAATGGTGTACTTGTGAGTTCAGCTTTTTTGTTTAATTGCTATGCAATTTTATCTCCACATTAACTTCTTTCTCTGAAATAAATCATTATAACGTCTTTGAATTTAATAATTTGAAAAAGCTATGTATATTTTATAATTGGATTTTATAAGAGATCTCTCTTTAAAGAATTTGTTTATTGTACAATAGCAACCACAAAATTTCACCCAATAGTACAATGTTGACAAAAATTACTACTGAAGTAATTAATAGCTACAAAAAGCACTCAGTGTCTCAAGTTCTGTTCAAGAAGTAAGTATAGGGTATTCATTTCTGGTTTATGTGGAGGAATGAGTGATACAGGAAAATGATTTATAACAGGATGGTAGAATGAAGCAATACCCAGATTAATATTCTTCTCACTCTGACAGGTGAATGTGAGGCTTTCAAATTGTAGTGTCTACCATAGAGGTACTTCCCGATTTCAGTCTACTTGTGGTTAGGCCCTCACAGCTTTGATCTTTCTTGTCCTCAGGACTCTTCACAGAAATGGGCTGCCTACAATTTTTACAGTAATAAAGTATGGCAGCTCCCATTTGTATGGAGWAAGGAGGGACAGTCTAGTCAAGATTTGATATAATCACCGGTTTTCGGACCTTGCGTTCTCCTTTTTTATTCATACTTGACTAGTTTGTCTTTTTCCAATAAATTTTTATTCCTTTTATTTTTAATCAATTAATATAGGTTTAATGTGTTCAACTCAGCATTGAATAAAAGGAAGATCTTGCTGCACCAAATAGCCATACAAAGGCAGCTCTCCTTTGAACATTGTGGGGAGCAATGGAGGATGGGATTTTATGCCTCTTGAAATTATAAATGGTCTTGTTAGTAAAGATATGCTGAAGGGTGGGTGATAGTGGATGTACAGATCAGAAYAGGGGTTCCAGGCAAATGCAAGCACATGAGGAAAGACAAATGAATGTAAGAGCAGAGGACAGGGAAATGATGGAAAGAAAAAGGCTTTCTGAATTCATAAATCTACTCAACTGATACTGAGTTGACCTGTGAGATCTCAAAAGACACTGCTCTCACACCTCTGTAATGGAATCTCTCACCCCTCTAGTAGAATATCTTGCTTCTGGCATCACCCTTCCTTTCCGCAGAAACAGGCAAAAGGGAGTAAACAACAGTTGAAGGCAAAATCCTTGTGCAAAGCAGCCAGAGGGGATTCTTCAAAACAGAGTGCATGAATGAGCATATGAGCCAGTCACACAGCAGCGAATGCCAAGACCAGTGATTGCTGCCAAGCTTAGGAATGTAAATACCATGTGAGAATGGAAGAAATCTCCAAGGAGAAGAAGTTTCTCTGTTGTCAGAACTTCATAGAAGTTCATTGAGACACTTTTATAAAGTCATACCAGGATAATTCATTGCAAGACACCCTTACACAATGTGCAAACTAACTGCTCAGACTACTCAAGGAAGATAAATGGTCAGCTGAAAAAATGCATTTAATTAAAGACACTCTAAAGAGCAAGCAAGGAACATCAATAAACAGCTTAGCGTGGATGCTTGTCACTCACYGAACAGCTACGGCACCGCCCCTGGGTATGTGCAAGTCCAGCAGGAGCCAAGAGTGTGGTGGGGAAGTGACTGCCCTCGTTTCTGCATCTGGCCACCGCAGGTGCATTTGAAGGGTGCTGCACTGGGCTTGCACAACTCTGCTTCTAGGACATGAAAGTCTGGCCTGGCATTTTGCTTAGCTTTTTGCATGTATATGGGCCTGCGTGACTTKCATTTTCTTCTCATTTTCTTTTCTAAAATACCAACCTGCCTTTTGAAGCTGGCAGAAGGCTCAATGTTAATGTAGAAAAGAAGTGCCATTCAGAAATACTAGAGTAGAGGTTGTCCTTGCTTCCCTCTAGGATCGCTCATCCTCTTCATTTCAGCTTGTCTGCCCTCAATCAGATCACTGTTAACTCTAATATAGTATAAACACATATATTCAGAGCACTCTAAATAYGGTAGTGCTTGTGCAGTGGTGGAAGGCGTGTGTGTAACTGCAGTAGTGTATGATATCGCCCTATGTAATTTCACCTTTCAATCCTTTTATCTGTTTTGCACCCATCTGTTAAAATGCTGTTTTCTCGTGCCTGAGCCCAGTACATTTTGATCACAAATTGGCTGAACACACATGTCTAGTGGGAGGGGGCAGGTGGAGGAGAGAGCGCAATAACCCAGCAGCAGTTGGGTGGTTTGGCAACTGGCATTTATACCTTCCAGCTGATCATGAGCTAGTTTTCTTCTTCAGCAAAGCAACTGAAAGCATTTGAAACTTTTCACCGTTGCACCATGACAGCATCCAGAGAGGAGCAAGTACAAAGGTGGCGGGGGGACCGGTGTGTGAGGGCTCCCTCTGCACTGCCCTGTTCCAGCGCAGAGCTCCGAGCCCATGGGCAGTGTACAGGGCTGGGGTTTAACCCTCCAGCTGCCTTCCCTGGGCTCTCTTTGCTCTGGCTCCACGGTACTGCAGGGATTAGCTCAGTGCATACCCCAGCTGCTTCATTGGTCTCTTGGCAATGCCCAGCTTTAAACTCGATACAGCGGGAGGTCATTCTTCCCATTGCCCTGCTGCCCATTTGTTTAGGTTTCAGCCTGCTGCTGGATCTGCAGCAAGCCTCAGATTCTCGCGTGTTCACTTGGCCAGTGAGCACACGTGTGTAACTTGCTGATAAATGACCTGTTTTTGCTGCTGTTTCCACACTGGTATAGTTTGTTGTGCTTGCCTCGTGGGTGCCCTTTGGTGTGCAGGAGTAAATATGCTAGTGTGTATTCAAGCAAATGCGTGTTCAAGCAAAGTGCCTGCATAGTTGCGTTATGCCCATAAACAAATATCTTTGCTGTTCTAGCTGTTATCTCTCTAAGCAGGGTTGTTAACTTACAGTTGAGATGAGAAAGAAGTAAATTGGTTTTCAGTACCAATCTCAGTAATCTTCAGTAATGTTCAACTACCAATTGATATTCAAAGATTTATTTAAACCCAGTTGCTGTTTTATTTTGGATTCTTTATCCTAAAATGCATTTAAGTCCTGTAACTTTAAAAAAATAGATGAACTTATCTTCCCCAGCTTGGAATAAGGGCTCCTGGCTGAATCCTGCTCTGGGATGATGGTGCTTTGGAAGTGCCCCTCACCCACCTGCAGCTGCTGCCAAAACAGACGTGCAGGAGCGATGCAAAGCTGGGAACAGGGAGAGCGCTGAGGTACCGCTTCACACAGGTTGTTGAATGTTATAAGGTGTATAACTGTCCGAAATGCCGTGTGCCCCTTAGGCAAACTGTGCGTGTGTCTCACCATGGGTTCCAGCGTGTGATCCTGCATGTTCACAGGCAGAGCAGAGCAGCAGCGATGCCAGGAGCAGGGCCTGCTGTTCGGCGCGCCGGCCACGGGGTGTCACGCGAGGAGCGCCCGCGGGCCGGGCGCGGAGCGCGGCAGCGCGACATCAGCGTCCAAAGCTGCTGGGTTTCACCTTCCGTGCTTGTACCTGTGTCCTAAAGACATTGCTCCTCACTTCCAGCTTTGCAATGTGATGCCTGGCATGCAGCATGTGATACTGAAGGAGTTAAAGGTATCTCTGTTAACATTTTCTACACACACAGTGCATGCAGCTGGGAAGACGTCTGCGTCTATACGTGATATTTACATGGCCTCAGGTTCAGGCTTTTTAAAGATGTTAGAGCCTGTGTCAGCGATTCCTTCCTGGGCAGCTTTGTGATCATATCCGTGGCTGACACTGTACAGCTGAAGCAGAGGAAGAGGAGGGAGGCAGAGCAACCTCTAGGCCAAACCACGTACCTGCTTCCCCATGATTTCTTCCTAAGCCACATCCATCAAAGAGCAAATCCTCACGTGGGCCCAGAGCACCACGTAGGGCACAAACTGACACTTAGGCTAGCATTGATACTGAAGAAGCTTTGTTGAATTCAGTGTTTCCTGTATCTTGCTGGTCCTTTTTCAAGGAATTTTTAGGGATTTAGGTGGTAGATTGAGCAAATAGATGCACTGGTTATTTTCAAGACAGGAATAGTGGCATGGAAAAGCATGTGAAGAAAAGGAGCTGAAAGGTTTAATGAAGGGGAGCAAGGTACGTGGTATATGAAGCAGTGAGGATGGATTTAGGCAAGCCAGAGATTTATGGAGCCTTAAAAGTGAAGATGTGAAGCCTCACTGAAAAGCAGAAGGGCAGGGGAAGAAAAGTGAGAAACAAGCAGGAGTAGCGGTAAAAATATCAGAGGGCACATTCAGGCTACTGGAGAGAGAGGAGTGGGGGAGAAAAAAGGGACATTTTCATCCTATATGTGATTGATGCTAATCTGCAGCATATCAATGCCAGTCCAATGAATTAATCTGGAGACCTGGACAAAATGCTACTAAATTACTGAGAAATTATTTAAGAAAGCTGGTTAGTGGCTGGCAGTGGGGTTTCATGGATGTTCTGCATGTAAGTTAGCCCTGGAATTTTGTTCCATGTTGCTAGTGTTT